ATTAGGTGGATATTACCACAGTGTGGCTGTAACTGCAGCCATCACAGTGTGTTACAATGGCAATAAAACAAGTCATTCTGCTATTAGTCTTTAAATAGGGTCGAGTTGGCACTTACATGTAATCTGCTTGTGCTAACATAACAATCAAGTATAAGTCAGGGAAATTTGCAAACATGTTTTGATCAGCATAAACACAAACTCACATAAACTTTTTAGCTTCAGAGTCCAGCCAGAACCTCGAAGATGTGGAACAGAAATTAAGGAATTGCTCCACAAATAATGATGCAGTTGTTGCATGATGGCAATTTAACTGCAAAATTACACAGCGTCTTGGCAACTTTGCTTTGATATGGGAACATAACAACAATGCAATCAACTGGTAAGAAGCTGAGTCGAGTCCCAAGTGTAATCTTATGACAATCTCTCTGCATTTCTAAATTTGGCAACAATTATTTGGAAAACTTTGATAATCTTTCCGAGACTGCACTCAGTCTGAGTCAGACTGCAACTGTTTGGAGGCAAGTTGCCTCCCACGAGAACGAAAACTGGCAACTATCTTACAATTAAAAATAATTAGCCCAAACAACTTCTATAATCAGTTGCTGGACAAATTCAGTACTATTGCCAGGTAACCACTGATTTTTTTTTACCACGGAGCTCGCTGTCCTTTTAAATGAATGCTATTCATTAGTTTCCAAAATGCTCTTTCCACGGGAGACGACTTTTAAAAGGCCAACAAGGCTAAAATATTAAAACTAAGTGGAACTTATTGATGGCTGTAACAGATAAAACCCGCCTGGTGTCTGGATCTTGGTCAGAAAGCATCAGAGGTGTTTTAGAGCAATGCAGTGAGCCCCAGTGAGGCCAGCTTGCAACAGTGTCAGGTGCCCAGGGCTGCTGGACTTTGATTATTTAATACAAGGCAACAGAGGCCGATCGATCAGCAGAAATGCTTGATGCTAAAAGCTACTGGAGCGTGGGGTTCCTGCCACACCGGGCCCTCCAAATGTCACACACTGCATCTAATAAGAGTGCTCTCCACGCTGCAGTGAACTTTATATCAAGCCTGTGACTTCCCCAGCACTCAGCATTGAGGAAGAGTTGTTTGTGCTGTTGTTTTGCTCAGTGGATGTCTGCAGGCACCCACAGGCAGACTTTTCTGTTGATGGTCATGACTTCAAAGATGGAATTTCATTAAGGCTGGTGTAATTAAAGAAGACCTATTGTGTTCATTTCCAGCTCCATATTTCTATTCTTGGATTAGAGTAGCCTTTAATGTTTCACAGTCCAGTGGGACTATGTTGAGCCTCTTAGTTTATCCTCTGTAAAACAGGCCATTTTAGTTCCTTTTCCCATCTCTTTTAGCCAACTTTCTAAAGCCAAGATCAGAGGAAAACTGTCTGAAACAGTGTTTGGTGAGAGCAGGGTCAAGTCTGACCTCAATTGTACATATTCATTATATGTAGCTGCAACTGCAGCAGCTATCCGGAAGCAGCTGGATAGCGTAGCGGTAAGACTACACACCTTTGGCGCAGGAGTCACAAGTTTGATTCCTGCTTGGGTGAGTCTGTATCCAGTGAGCAGTGAGGGTTACATTCCATTCCTGTGCAATCTTCCACAACACACATTCTACGGCAAGGGGGAGCCAGGACGCCAGGTCAGGGGGAGGCTGTGCTGACTCCCAAGCTAGGAGAGAGACCAGCTGTACATTTTTATAATACTTACTTTATATGTGTATAAGTAAGTATAAGTATTCATTTGTATCTTTATTCATCATGAATACTAATAAGATACTAGTCTTAGATATAAAGATACTAGTAGATATTAGTAGATACTAGTACTCTTAGATATTATATCTAAGAGTACTAGTATCTTTATTTAGATACTAAATAGAATAATTTTAGTGTATATATATTTATTTATTTTATCTTTATTTAGTAAAGATACTAAATAGTATTTAGTAAAATAAAGATACTATTTAGTATCTTTATTTAAAGAATAAAGTATCTTAGTATCTTAGATATTAGTATCTTTATATCTAAGTATCTTACTAGTTTATTCATTCATGATGAATAAAGATACAAATGAATGATGAAGAATGATAATACTTACTTATACACATATAAAGTAGGTATTATAAAAAATATACAAATATATAAATATATAAATTTATAATATATAAAAATTTAATTTGAGAATCTTTTTCAGTTCTAAGAGCTACTGGTGGAGAAAAGGGACATGGACCCTGAGCCAAGGTGTGAAAATGGCTACATGGCAACATTAATACAAGATGCATCCATCCATCTTCATCCGCTTATCCGAGGTCGGGTCGCGGGGGTAGCAGCCTAAGCAAAGAGGTCCAGACCCCCTCTCCCCAGCCACCTCCTCCAGCTTGTCCGGGGGAATACCAAGGCGTTCCCAGGCCAGCCGAGAGATATAATCTCTCCAGCGTGTCCTGGGTCTGCCCCGGGGCCTCCTCCCGGTGGGACATGCCTGGAACACCTCGCCCAGGAGGCGCCCAGGGGGCATCCTTGCCAGATGCCCGAACCACCTCAGCTGGCTCCTTTCGATGTGGAGCAGCAGCTGCTCTACTCTAAGCCCTCCCGGATGGCCGAACTTCTCACCCTATCTCTAAGGAGAGGCCAGCCACCCTTCGGAGGAAGCTCATTTCCGCCGCTTGTATCCGCGATCTCGTTCTTTCGGTCACTACCCACAGCTCGTGGCCATAGGTGAGGGTAGGGACGTAGATCGACCGGTAAATTGAGAGCTTCGCTTTTACACTCAGCTCCCTCTTCACCACGACCGACCGGTGCAGCGTCCGCATTACTGCAGCCGCAGCCCCAATCCGTCTGTCGATCTCCAGCTCCCTTCTCCCATCACTCGCGAACAAGACCCCGAGATACTTGAACTCCTCCACTTGGGGCAGGAACTCATCCCCGACCCGGAGTGGGCACTCCACCCTTTTCCGGCTGAGAACCATGGCCTCAGATTTGGAGGTGCTGATCCTCATTCCCGCTGCTTCACACTCGGCTGCGAACCGCTCCAGTGCGAGCTGGAGGCCCTCACCCGATGAAGCCAACAGAACCACATCATCCGCAAAAATCAGAGATGAGATATATATATATATATTGATGTTCATGTTGATATCAGCTGGATAGTGTAGTGGTAAGACTCTAAGCCTTTGGGGTGGGAGTCACAAGTTCAAGTCCTCTTCAAGTCCAGTGCTTATCTCTCATGGTGATGAGGTACAACACATGTGCTACGGCAAGGAGGAGTCAGGACGCCAAGACAGGGGGGATATCGTCCTCCCCGAGGTTGGCAACGTCAGGAAGAAGCAACATGAGTCTTTTCAGCTTAGAATGTTGGTTTGTTGAGAGAGAGATCAAGAATATTGAGAGCACAATGAGAGTCCAAGAGTACTGAACTGGTGGCATCCTTCAAAGGCTATGTGGTGTTAGGAGACATTACTCAAAAGCAACAGCAGGCTAAGATAATCAAATTACCTGTGTAGGATGTTAACACATGGAAGTAGAAAAAAAAGTATTTATTTAGAATCAAGAACCTATTTTTTACTCTGTCGTGTCTCAAAAAAGTAATCCAGTTACACAGGTAATTTGATTATCTTAGCCTGCTGTTGAGCATCTTGAGTAATAGTTCTCCTAACACCACGTAGCCTTTGAGAATTATGGCCACCAGTTCAGTACTCTTAGTACTCTCAGTATTCTTGATCTCTCTCTCTCTCAACTAAACCTCACATTCTTAGCTAAAACACTCATGTTGCTTCTTCCTGACGTTGCCGACCTCAGGGAGGACGATATACCCCTTGCCGTAGCATCCCAGCTCCCCCTTGCCGTAGCATGTGTGTTGTGGACGATTACATAGGAATGGAATCCTCACTGCTTACTGGATACAGACGCACCCAAGCAAGAATCGAACTTGTGACTCCTGTTCCAAAGACATGTAGCTTTACCGCTACGCTATCCAGCTGCTTTCGGATAGCTGCTGCAGTTGCAGCTACATATAATGAATATGTACAATTGAGGTCAGACTTGACCCTGCTCTCACCAAACACTGTTTCAGACAGTTTTCCTCTGATCTTGGCTTTAGAAAGTTGGCTAAAAGAGATGGGAAAAGGAACTAAAATGGCCTGTTTTACACAGAGGATAAACTTACCAATAGAGGATAGAGATAAAGATACCAATATCTTACCAATATCTACCAATATCTAAGATACTAGTAAGATATTACTTTATTATAGCTAACTAACTAGTATCTTAGATATTAGTATCTTTATTATAGATACTAGTATCTTTATATATTAGTATCTTTATTCATCATGAATAAAAGATTCTTGAACTTTTTTTTCTCATTTGTGTTTTTTTTTTTTAAATTACATGTGCACTTAGGTAGACATCACCAGGGTATGGAGTGACACATCAGTGTGTCTAATGTTGTGGTTTATGTGCAAGTATACCATCAACACTGACAGAAATACTTTGCAACAGCTGTCCTATGTTGTGACCACTATGCATGAAGGGCATGGTCCCTCGCTATAACGTAGTTCACTCCTGTACAGAATTCATTCAGCTTTTCAAATTTACATAAATCTTCGATCGCTAGCAGTGTGACTCTGAAGTGCTGTACTGTATGTTTGTACGTTTTCTCCCCAACAAACACAGAAATGTCAAAAAAACACCTGCAGGTGTCTTTGGTTTCATTCTATAATACTGGACTTATTTTCTACAAAGGTTTGAACTTTGAGTGTTTAAACAAGAGAGAACAGTGTGAAAATGTTCATGCCTGTCTGAGAAAAGTGTAAAAAGTGTGTAGTGAGGGGTTTTAAAGCCTTAAAACATCTATAATATAATAAAAAATAAAGTTGGCTACTTCGCAGATTTTATCTATTGCGGATAAATGAGATACCACTGTAATATATATTCTCTATAATGTTAGTTTTTTAATATAGGCTAATTTCCTGTTTCCTCTAAAATCTTTTTTAGACGAAGTAACAATGGAGGAAGTGGGACAGACGACCCAGCTGCGGGCTGGGGAGCTCATCATCATCGTGGTGGTACTCATCATGTGGGCAGGTGAGGACAAACCTGTTCAGTAAACCAGGATCAGACGGCCTTTGTGTGGATTACACTCGATTTTCCCAATTTTCTGTAAATACAACACAAAATCCAGCTTTTAATGTTTAGACGATAACAATACCCAGATTTGTCCGATCATGAATGCGAACCATCTCTCCCCCAGGTGTGATCGCCCTCTTCTGTCGCCAGTATGACATAATCAAAGACAACGAGCCGAACAACAACAAGGACAAAGCCAAAAACTCCTCAGAGTGCAGCACTCCCGAGCATCCGACGGGGGGGCTGTTGCGCAGTAAGGTATAACCCACCCCCCTCCCCTCCTCCTCTCCCCGGGTGTCTCCCCCTCAGCGGCGCCGGGCAGGTGAATGGTCCCGGCCACTTCTAGACTTTTTCCACTGACACTTCATACGCTCCCATGGTGTCATCTGAGCGTCAGGCTAAAGCTGAACATTGCTCCAACATGGCGCCATTACGTGCATGACTACGCAGCATCAGCTCGCAGCAGCCCTCGAGTCATGGCTTCCAATAAGTTCTAATTGATCAATGCACAGAGCCCATTTCACAACCATGTATCGTGTGCTGACAGCACAAGTCCAGAACTAATCTTTATTCCTTTCACTCTCCTGCAAACATCAATAAAGCATCCAAGTAGCAGCAGAGGCATCCTCATACTCATTGAATTTTATTGTGTGACTCCTGAGTCCTGCGGTCGTCTCATACCTGTCGTCTTCTTCTCTCCTCCCACAGTTCCCCAAGAACAACAACAACAACAATAGGATGCCATCTGTCAACATCATTGAGGTGTGACTGCCAGGACGTCTTCTCTTTACCTAAAAGACTTTGTGTTCTCACAAACAAGCAGGCCCCTTTTAAGCCCATCTGCTTGTCAGGATGACGCTGGGACTCTGGGCCCCTCGGCAGCGCCTTCTCTCCTTCGGGCCTGGCGCCAGAGCGAGGCCGCAGGACTCTGGGTGTCGAGCATGCTCCCTCCGCCTGCGCCGGTGTGAAAAGCAGCGGCTGCTCCGTGCTCAGTGACTACTGCACTGTGGGGCGGCAGCGATTAGAGCCGAATGGCTCTGGTGTTGGAGAGACTGCAGATAAACAGGCCCCAGGGACCAAAGCTGATAAACAGAGCCAGAGACCTTTTCATTCTCTCTGTCACCTTCTTCTCAGCGTCTTGCAGTGTGTTATCAGTGACCGCAAAACCTGGGCATTTCCCTTTTCTGGGTTGAAATCGTCTCCTCTGCTTTAATCTTTTATATCCACGCATAACTTCATCATTACATGTTGCATTCTGTACTCTTAAATGGGCTGTTAGGGTGTAGTTGTTTAAATTTTTACAAGGTGCCACCAGTACAGTTTTGTTGTTCTGGTATTTTTGTTTCATTGATCCTCTCTCGGGCAGAAGCTCTTTGCAATCTTGTGGATTCACTTGTTTTTTTTTCCGCCCCCTCAGGGAATCCAGACTCTACCACCTGGCTAATTTATGAGATGTTTCTAAAATGTGTTGTGACAACGCCAGAGCAGCTTTTGAGAGGGCTGCTACCAAAGCTGAATCACCAGGACTCGATCAACAAGATAAAAACACTTAAAAGGAACCTCTGATCTGAACAAATATTCACAATAGAGTTCATGAGAAGCCAGGTTTCATCCTACTTCTTGTCCCTCATGCTTTTATTCTGAAATGTTACATTCCATGTCCAGAATGAACCCTTTAGTATTCCCTCGTGTCTTTCTCTCTGAGGGGGATGAATCTCAAAGCATTCTGGAGAGGAGCAGAACTGCCATAATGGAGTGCATTCATCTAATTAACGAACTCTAAAAGGGGCTGGACTCTCGGAAGAAGTGGTCTTTCCTCTTCAGAGACACACAGGAGATCTCTTATATCAGCAATAACAGCCCTCAGAGGAAGTGTAGAATCGAGGACTCAAACGCCGCAGCCTCTTTGAATAAAATCCCGACCTCTCAGCATGTTGTAATGTTCAGGCAGACAAATGAACTGCACGTCCAGTTTGGAGGGAATTAACTCCGAGCCCCAAACGTCCTTAAGCGCTGTTGTAAAAACTTTGGTTTCCAGTGGTTAGCATGGGATTTTAAAAAAAAAAATTTAAAAAATAAAAAATAAAAAAATTAAAACTTTTTTTTTGTTAAATGGGGCCCAACTTGCAACCCTACGATTTCTTTGTCACCAGACAGAAGGGCTTCTATTCAGACTTTTTCACCAGTTTAAAGTCAACATCTGTGCTGAAACATAATGGTATATGGCACATCTGGGAGCAAAATGACGCATTCGAGGGCTGATTCAAACTCAGTAGTACTGCCTTAAAAATAAATCACACCATATGATTTATCTAATAAGATGGAAGCCCCTGTATCTCACACCGTGATATTTATCTTCCACCCAGTATTTAAATGTGTGTGCAAAGAAAAAGGGAAACATTACAGATCGATGCCGTGTTGTCTGAAAAGCTGGAAGAGGTGGCTGGCCTTTAATGTGTAAATACATTTAAAATTCCACTCTTGTTTGGTAGCATCAGTCTGAAGAGCTTTTAATGAAATATGACAAGACTAAATGGAAGATATATAGTCTCGTATTGTAAGAGGGTACCGCTACTGCTAGTGAATTTTTTTTGTTTAGACACGGCTGTTAAAGTCCTGTTATTGAATGCGTTTTTCATGGCACTCCTCTACCGTTATGTGCTTCTATTATGTCATTATGCTGTTTATGTGCATTAAAAAGAAGAGTGTTTTCGATGAGGGACACAGCCCTGGATATTTCACATAATCACCCAGGCGTGGTGTTCGAGGGCCATTCAAGCTGCTGGGAATCCGTATCGACGGGCAGCTTCTCATTCTGTGATGCACCGACTCGTCTTTTACTGCGAACGCAACAGGTCCCGGCTCCTCAGCCTTGAATGCAGTGGAAAAGGGAGGCAGTTAAGAGAAAAAGCAATGAACAGAATGAGTAGACTGATAACTAATGCAATGGCAGGTTTCTATCACTCACGAGCAGCGAGCCCTGCTATTTGCTGCACACCATTTCCCCGGTCTCCTTTCCCAATTTCTTCCTCTTCACCGCAACTGTCACATGAAGGTTTAAAATGTGAGTCTGTCTAATGTAAAGGTCTCTCCTGACTAACACTTCTGTCTAGCCAGGACAAACTTTGGGAAATTTTCTGTGAAGTGATCACCACTTTACTTAAAACACTTCACTCAGCTGAAGGCTGAATCCGTTTTATCCCCCCGGAACATTTTCCCCGGTGGCAGACTCTCCGATCAATAGGCATCCGTCCACACAGTGAAGGATAATGACGAGAATCGTCTCCAATGATTTCTTTGAACATCCAACAACATATTTATCCCCTGCATTCCCCGAAACAGTGAAAGTCCTTTGCTCCTCTTTGGTATCGAGTCAGCTAGCAACGTATGAAGTTCATTTTAAAAGTTGTGATGATGGTACGCGTGTTGACACTGTAAATACTGTATTCCTTATTAAAGATTTAAATGTAGGGCTATCGTGGCAGGTTGTCAAACTTTACCAATAAATAGTTTGACATTTTGGGAATTTGCAGTTACACGAGAAGATCGACACTTCTCTTAGCAGCTGGTTAAATTACAGCCAACACATTCTCAAAGTAAGGCATCGAATGCCAGCACGTTGCTATCCCGGGGTAGAAAATAATCCTGTTTTGTCAGATGCTACAAGATGCCCTATGGTGCTGTTACCTTAATGCACCAGCCACAGCCACCACAACACAACAGTCCAGTTTTAAAGACCCGCAAAGTGAACATTAGGAAGTTGGAAGTTTGGGTCGTCTGCTGTTCCCGTTGGGAGCTTTCTGTTTAACTCTTCAGTCGCTCTTCAGCTGTGTAATGAAAGCTGGAGCTTCTTGGGTTAGAGTTCGCACTGGGTCACTCCACTTCACTTTCCTGTCTAATGTTTGATCCGCAGCTGTCCCAAAGTGAATGCAAAACCAAGGGGTCCTATGCTAGTGTCCAAATTTCATGATTACAATTAATTTCCGTCTCACTAACCTCATAAGTCCCAAAGAACAACTGTGTGCATCTGTGAGAAACCAGCAGTTTTAACAAAACAGCAGTATTTGCCCCCTGGGAATGAGAATGGGTTGCTGGCTCGAGCAACAGTACAAACGCGGAAGCGCAGTCAGTCTCTTCATCTAACTAATGGCTGAGAAAGCCATCAAGTGGATGTCTGAAAGTGCCAACCCTTTCCCTTAAGGGTTGCAGCTTCAGCAGCTGAGCACTAGGTGAGCTCTCCAACTTAATACATGAAAATTATTTATTTGGTTTTACACACAAGTGTTTGACCATGTTTAACAGCTACACAGTGGCATAACATGTCTAATTAAGTGGAAGGCATCTGGGTATCTAATTAGAGTCCACTCATTACAGACAGTGCAGTTCGCTTAGCCCATCGCTGCTGCTACTGAAAAACTGATTACTGGGATTTAAGTTGGCTGAAGGCAACACCCAGCTGCTACCACTCTGACTGGAACAGGTTAAGCAAACGGTGGCCAGATGAAAAATCTTTCCTTAATCGCACTCGACAACCGGTGACGACAGCACGAACTCAACATTCCACGTGAGCCCTGTGGCGTCAAACCACTCATTAAAAAAGGCCCGAAACCTTTTCGCCTGCTACCGTTTGTGCTAAATCAATGCCTGAGAAAAAAAGAGGGGGAGACGATGCTCTGTTGCAGTGACGGACCGTTTCGCAACAATCGCTGGATTTTAACAACACATCATGTGTTTTGTTTTAGAGTAGAAACATGCCTGGAAATACATGAAGTTTGACCGTTTCATTATGGGATTCTTGAAATTTAGGAATGAGGATGACGAAGAAGCATGGTTTAGTAAAAATTAACTGCTTTACTAGTGCTATCATGTTTATATTCATTGTATGGAGTGTACAGCAGTCATTGCTTAAAGAGGGCTAGCATGGTTTAACTATTATGCACAAGGTTACACAACTTCAATTATGAAGAATATGGTGTATGCTTACTTGTGTATGCTTAAATAAAATATCTAATATTTTCAAAATAGAGGTGTGTGTTTGCTCCTTGTTAAAAACCATGAGGACAGCTGGTAATGCACCAGAGAACAGATGCGACTGGTGATTTCTAAGCTTTAAGAAAAGAAAAATAATATATATTTCAGCAAGAAAAAAGCTTAAATTCAGCAGACTACAACTGACAGGCTTCTCCTACGTTTAAATAAAAATACAGTTTAGTTTCACGGTTGCTGTGTGTTACGTTTCGGTGTTGTCAGTGTTTTGTTTTTGCGTGACTGTCATGTGTTTCCTGTTTTACTTTGAAGGTCTGTTGTTATCTTAGTGTGTTCAGTTTACGTTTCCTTGTCTCGTCAGGTCTAATTTGCCCCAGCTGTGTTTCCCTCCTGTGGTCCATTCCCTGATTGCTCCTTCTATGTATTTAAGCCCTGTGTGTCAGTTGGTCATGGTTGCGATCTCCCCCGTGTTGTAAATAGATTTGTCGATACTTTAGTTTTGGGATTTTGGTGGAGAGCTGTAGTTTTTTTCTCCTGTGTTTTTTTTTTTCTTATTTTTATTTTCATACGTTGCACGCCGGTTGCCTAGGCCGGGGTGTAACACTGTGGAGGAATCAAAGTTTGACAAAGAGATGTGTCCTGCTGAAAAATGCAGCCGTCAACGTGGTTTTGGGCGAATGCATTTGCCGTCCAGTCAGCAGCTAAGAAAACGTGCATGAATTCGTAATGGCTCAGAAATCAATGAGGCTTTAGCAGCGAAACGACAAATCACTCGAAGCCTACTCGAGTCCAACATTAGACTGCATTTGCTTTCGCATGTATCAATACGAGAGCGACCGCCGGCTCGACTGTTTGGCTGAGCAGGCGAAACGAGGCGGTGGGATTTTATAGCTGACTCGTTATTTGTAGTCTGTTTTGACAATTCCCAACACAGCTGCAGGAAAACTGTGAGGCACGTCAGGTAAACGCAAAGCTGTGTTACTGCCTCCGAAGGAAAGAGGAGGGGAGGGAAAGTATAATGTAACCCTGGTTAACATAGCTAACAACAAATAAAAGCCTGTTAGTAAAAACAGTCATAAGAAATATATTACAGGTGATAAATAGTCAATAAATAGATCATAATGGTTAGAAAATTCATTAAAAACATGTTAAAAGGGTACAGAACTTGCTAATTCATGGTGTTTTATGTTAATTCAGGTAAAATGGCTAAAATATGTGTTGAGACTCTTATTGTGAAAGGGCACGCTGCAGCGTGACTCCTGTGATTAGCCACACCCAATCGGGTTGTTCCTTCTTTTTGATGCTCGAGAGGGAGAAATGCAGACAGTCCTTGCAGAGCTGCTGCTTAAATGAGTGAAAAAATAGTAAAAATAAGCCAAAAATCTACTTGAAGCCATTTTTGTACTCTGGAGAATGTATTTTGTTTTTCCGACCTGTCCTTGCCTTGGTGACGTTGTGAACATAACCGAACGGGACTTGGTGAGTTCAGAAATTGTCTTTTATTTCATGCAAGAAATTTTTGTTGTATTATATTGCTCATTTCATGCAAATGGAGAGCCAAGGTAGCAGATTTATGTTGTTTTATGTTAAAAACGGTGGATTCGTGCTTAAACGACACACAGGCTGCAGTTCAAAGGCCTTTGACGGTGTTTCAGCGCGCCATATTGGCGTCACCTCATTTACGGCTAAATAAGCTGGAAAAAACTGACTTTTACTGTTATTTAAGGGCTACCCGTGTGTTATTTTCGAATGTTTATGCACTTTATTTTGTTGTTATGGTAGGCCATTAAGGTTTGGATCGGGAAATGCCGAGCTAGAATCGGAGTTTGATCCGCTGAGCGAGAAACAAGATGGCGAGCCACCCACGGACCCATTGAACTGTACCGAGCAGGAAAAAGGAAAACGCCCCCTGCTGGACGTTGAGCTCTTTCGCTGATAAAACTGGTAGGATTAATCCATACACCTCTGCAAAAGAACAGCGGACTTTTCAAAGCACTGGATAATCATTCGGAGTAATTCCAGGACTAATAGTTAAAGGACACAAAGACAACTTTCTTTTGTTTATTTGTTTGTTTAAGGGATTTATTCAGCCTTTTGCTGAATTGTTTTCAGTTTTACATTTATTTATTTATTTTTGTAATTTATTTTGGTCAACCTTACATTTTAATGCTGTAATGGTGTTAATGGAAGTGTAAATAATTTTGTTGGGTTAAAACAAAATAAGAACTGGTTGAGAATTTAAAGGTGAACCTAGACCAAGATTAAATTAAATCTTGGGCCTAAAGAACTGAACTTGATTTAAAATAACACAGTGTTAATGCAAATAGATCAAAGGATAAACTTGAACTTAGAACTTGAAATAAATAAAACAATAACCTAGGTTGAGAATAACATCCTTCTAAAGCCAAATAAAAGGTTTTGAGATAAATAGGATGAACTAACAGAACATACTGAACTAAGAAGGGGAAAGAAAACATCTTGTTTTCCTTAAATGTGTGATGTTGAATGTTTTATGTAATGTGTCTATAACTGTCTATTCTCTGTCTTCACAAAATAATAAGCCGGCAATTTAAACGTATTTACTGGTCTGTGGTCTTTATTACATGCTACGCTCATTACTGCTCTAGTAGTCGAACCTAACTGGTCCTAGTATACTGTAACGACTCCAGAAGTGTTACAATAACACACAAAATAAAACACAGCTGGAAGGTGTGGATCAGCGCGCCAAGTGCCCTGCAGTCTGCAGTTTCACGAGGCCTATGCTGACACACACCTACATACCTTCTGGCTGGCCGGGCGGGGACAGGCTGCCCTACTATCTGCACAGACGGGATTACTTTAACCGCATGCATTATTCGTGGAAAAGACCCCTGCTCCGTGCTTCTGGGCCGCCTGTGTTCACCTGGGCTGTCAGAATAAAACTGACAAAATGCAGCATTATTCACCAAACATTAACACGGGAAGACAACTGTACTGGGAGCTGAGCATTATTATGATGACTCTCTGACTCTAGGGAGTGGGTTCTCTGCTAAGAGCCGGTGGCACTTACACTTTTCATGCAAGGTTTAATGAGAGCACAGTGCATTGAATCCACCGAGCAGCAAAGAGTACAAAGAGGTCGCTGCTGCTTTACAATAAAAACAACAACAATTTAAACGAATATCTATAATTTAAACACCTTCCTGTTTAACCCCAAGTTGTAGTGTGTGGCCAAAGAGGTAATTTGATTAGCAGTTCAAAAGAAAAGGTATGAAATCTCCACCATCAGGAAGATCCCTCAAACCTCAGGAGAGGTAAACGCTGCTCTATATGAATTAATACAGTACTGCACAAAAGTCTTGAGCCACCATCACTTCTTTGTTTTGATTCCAAGCAGTCAGACTTCCTAAGAGTTTTTTTTAAGGTGGCTTTGAGGAATAGTTCTCCAGCTTTCTGCAGGTCTTTCAAAGTGTTTCTTTGGACACTGGCTGCTTTTTCAACCATTTTCAGTCCAGACCCTGTACCTGAGCATTTTCAAATGATTATTTGTTTGTTTGTTAAGCTGCTTAAAACTAAACTATGACTCACTCAAGGGGAAAAAAAGAAGGGTAACGTAAGAGACTATTTTTAATTGTATCTTTAGGCACCTTGGTAGTAGCAGTCTGTTGCAGAAACTTGTCATTTGTTCCCACCACAATACCATCTGGAAAGCATTTGATTGGCAAAGCTTCATGTTTCCAACATGATAACGATCCCAAACACTTCCAGTCCAGTAAAAGCAGACCTGGACAGAAAAATACACAATGAAACACTACCAGTCAACAACTGGCCTGCCCAGAGCCTGGACCTCAACATCACTGAAGCAGTGTGGGATCCTCGAAACACAGCCAACATCCAAAGGAGAGCTCTGAATGTCCTCAGAGAAGCCTGGAGAACCATTCCTGAAGACTACTCAATGAAATTATAAGAAAGCTGCCAAGAAGAGTTCAGACTGTGTTGAATAAAAAGGTGGTGATACCAAATAGTGACTTTCAAGCTTGTTAGAGTTGTACAGACCTGCTTTGCATGCTGCATTTCTATGTTTGCTCATCTGTCAATACATTGCTGTACCTCTTTCCCATTTTCATAGCAAATATAAAAATAGAAATACACAAATTTTGTTTTGTTTTTAAATGAGGGGTGGCTCAAGACTTTTGCACAATAGTGCATCTGATCCTAAACAGTCAATGAGACATTTTTGTCCTTTTTGCCTTTATATCAAATTTGCACAGTAGACCAAGCTTACGTTTGAATTCTATTTTTACATTATTTTCTTACTCTCACACTGTTGAACAGCCGGTGCTCCAGCTGAAGGATTGAAAATTAAAACTGTCTTACGCACATCTAAACACTAATTTAATGAAACCCGACTCCGACATGCTGCGATACTGAGAGGTCCGTTACCTTACACACTGCAGGCTTTTCTCCACAGCTTCAAACTTAATAAAATTACAACTTTATCAATTCAGACGTACTTTTCCAGTCTTCCTGCTAACGCACTTTTAGGTGAATATGCTTGGAGTTGGATTAACAAACCCCAGGTTGAGCTGAAAAGCTCACCCTGATTGCTGATGTTTAAGTAAGTGAAGTCAGACATGGAAGAGATATGCTGGATATCCTGAGCTTGTGTCACAGTGCAGGAAAAAACCCCAAACACTGAGAAACCCCAAACATCACTTTCAGCTGATGCCTTTAAAAGAAAGCACAAAGGACATTTGTTTAGGCCACAATCCTAATAAACAGGCACGATTATGAAAAAAGAAATTGCACTGAGAACTGTTTTATTCCCAGAGAGAGTATTATAATTCAGGACACAATCAGACACATTTACACCACCGGTAATGTTGGACGAAGATGAAACAGCTGGTATGTGGGTGAACTGACCTGGCAGGTATGACATAACAGCCTGCCTCCATATCAAACTCAAAAGTGCGTCAGTAAGTGTGCCGCAAACAGCTGCTTGCAAATCCTGATGATAGCGAGCACATGTTTCAACACATTACAGAGTTTTCAACCATTTAAAAAGACATTTCACGTGCCTGAAAAGTTTTCCTGCTTCTTCCCCATATCAAAATATGACAAATCCCTGATAACCTGTGATGTACTGATCCAACTTTCTCAGTCAGATAGATACCTTGGCTGTGAGTATCTGTTAGCCATCAGCATTTCTCACTGTGACGATGAGGCTTGAACATCGTTTTCAAAATTGTAGATGACTGTGGAATTGCCATTAGCCACGCTTTTCAGACGTCAAAACAAATCAACACTTAATTAAAAATAACCAACAATCTAGAAAAAAAGAACTTGTTAGCGTATCAAGCAGGATATTATGTGACAGCTCGTAGGATAGTGAAGAATTTAGCAGGACAGATGGGCCCGATGTCACTTGGAAGGATGCAAGTACTGGATCGGCACACACCACATTGAAACATGCACCAATTTTTAAATAAAAGACAAACGTAGAATCTAAAGAAAGAAAGAAAAAGCAAAAGTGCAACAACAAAACAGACAAACCAGGCAACCAAATACAAATTCACCCAAGAAACAGAAAAAGTGCAAATATTTGACACAAGGAAAAACGAGCCCCTTCCAGACACACACCTTCCTCCTCAGTAACCCCACTGCCCGATCCACACAGCTGCACTGTACCAGAGGCCCTGCACTTGTATGAATACAGTAATTACCAATAACACGTACATATTTTCTTTTCAGTTATTAAAACATTATTTTTATCGAGAGGAGGGGTCTCTTTGTGTGTGAGGGGCGGAGTACAGCTCTCTCAGCAGCACTCTGCACCTTCTTATCGACATCAGTGGAGAGAGCTAAATATTTAAAGCGTGGCTACACTTCACTACAGCGCTTGTGCGTGCTGTGCCTCTCTCCATGACGTCTGAATGTTGCCAGCAGCGAGGTTATGCATGTCTGAAAAGGGCCGTATTACACCATAACAGTAAAGGGTTTTTTCACACAGTGTTTCTTGCTCAGACATTTTAGAGTCGAGGACAGTGGTATCTTTCAAACAGTTTAGGAACTTTTGAAAAGCGTTCGTGTGAGCCATAGTTCTTGCGTTGCCATTCTCGGAGCGTCATCTCTGGCTTTGTACCAAAGCGACTCTGGTAATTTCTGAAATTAAGCAGATTCAGATGGAGATTATTACAACTTTAAATAAAGCTAAACTAAAACTAGATATAAAACATGACATTATGTGCTGGTAAAACTAAATTTAGAGGATATTTTCATTTAATCTTTGACAAATCTGACAAAACAGTCAGGAAGCATTTGATGAACTTCACTAAGATAGTCTGAGACGACTGAACAAAGCCAGACAACTAAAACTAAACTTGATTTTTTACAAAAAGACAAATAAAACTCAGACTCGTTTATTCTGAATCCACAAAAAAAAAAAAAAAATCAAAAAAGGTGGCGTACCGGCGGGTGAAGTCGGAGGGATGCTGCCACCGTTTCCCATCCTTGCCCGCTTTCTCACCAGCAACACGGTTCAGCACACTCAGCAGCTCAGACATGACACCTGAAGGAGGCACAGATGTTAGAACATCAAAACTGAAGGTCATACGTGACTGAAGGGAAGAGTCATGACACAGAGGGGGGAAATAAAACCCCACAACACAAGCTTCCAAGTGAGAGACGTTTACACGTTAACTTACATCTATAAAATAATTACTTTTACTGTCATTACTTACAGTAAAAGTAACTGTATTACTTAGTTATTACTTTCTGTACCACTAACTGCTTATTTAATCAATTAAAAGTCACCAAAGCTCTCTGGACTCAGTAGCCGTGGAGCTCTAAAACTCCATTGCCATTAACATCAGCACTAAAACTGTGCACCGCGAGCTCCATGGCATCGGTTTCCATGGCCGAGCAGCTCCTGTAGGTGTAACGTGTAGGTGGCCCAGTACTTAGTAATAATTTCACAGATTTATTTATTCTAACTAAAGCTTTGAAATAAATCATACCGGTAACACTACATGCTGGTTGGATTTAAGACAGACCCCTGCATGCAGTAGCTGACAATCGACCTGCAGCAAAGTTTACACACACACAAAAAAAAAAAAAAAAAAAAACGCCACCAAGCTTAAAGGTCAAGACAGTTTTTTTATTTCTGTGTGGAGGCGAACAGAATCACTTTCCTTCACCTTTAAGTTTGTTTATCGTGTGATCTGATAAAGCACTCTTACTGGCATTTTACCTGCAAAGGTTTGGATAGATTACAGAAACAACCGTGGCTGCTGTCAACTGTAGAAAAATGTTTTCTTTCTCTTCGGCGCGCTGTGTGTGGAGTCAGAGAGGCTCCGCCATAAACAACTACAGCGCCATCCTCGCTGCTGCTGCGTCATCAACTTTCATGTCGGCTAAAAGTGAAGCTGCTCAGGCTGAATCTCAGAATCACTTTTTACAGCCAACATACGTCTACATTTTAGTCGCAAACTCGAGGTAAATGTTAAATGCGTCCTTTACTGTGAAAACATAATCCTTACTTCAGCTAGTTTTCTTCACATGTGACTCAGTAATGGTAGAAACTTCATCTCTGGCTCGTAA